CCCTTACCCCCCCCACTCCATTCCTTCAAACTATAGGTTTACCCAACCACACTCTTCTATCCTTCCTTCCCCCTTTTGAAACTCTTTGTTCCCCCACCCACCCCCCTGCAACCCTCATTTCCTGTCCTATCCTTACACCCCCCTCAGTAAACTTTCGCCCAACCCTCTACCCTTCACCCACTTAAACCCAGTGCCTCACCCTTAGCCCCACCACTGTCCCCAACTACACTCACCCTGCCTCTGTCTTGATTGAACGAATGCGGGATTGTGCTTCATTGTCAAGTGTAGTACAAGTGACCAGCACTCTCTTAACTTTTTGGTTTCATTTGTAGGTCTTGGGTAAGAGGTGCCCTGGTCCTTCTCTGTCTCCTGGGTATTACCTGGGCATTTGGCCTGCTGTATGTCACAGAATCCTTACTGGTGTTTGCCTACATCTTCACCATCGCCAATGTATTCCAGGGAATGTTCATCTTCATCTTCCACTGCTTCATGAATGAGAAGGTAATCAGGAAACATTGTCATCGTAATGTCTTGAAGTCATATTATATCCAGCATATTCAGTGAGATGCTTTTTTAACAGAAAGTGTCCCAACATTTCACCAAATGCCAAAAATTACACTGAGGAATAAGTGGCTTAAAGAGCATAAGGGATTCTCTGTTTTATGATTTGCAGGTTATCAAAGAGTATCGTCGCTTCATCCGCAACAGCATGTGGATGCCTGAGTGGATACGTGATCGGTATGGTGGCACATTCTACACTGGTTCCAACCAACATCGTTCTAGCTCATCCTCGTCAGGGGTGAGTTTCAGATTGTCATGTGTCTCAATCCCTGAAATGGGTTCTGATACTCATGTCCCAAGGAGAGTTTTAACCATTTTTCATTTAGAATGGCCCTTCTGAACCTGTTTTGGGAAATGTTAATTGTTCACTATTAAGATGAGGTCATTTGTGCTAATTGACAATAAAGGTTCTCATGTGTGTTGGATTTTTTGCTGCAGTAACAGAGAAATCATACAGGATTTCAGCCTTATTTGATAATTTGGAGTGAAAGTTTTATTTGAAACCAAATCAATTTATTGGAAATAAATATCAGAATTTTGTAGTATTCAGAAACAAATCAGAGAAATACAAGTACCCTGCTGTGGTAAATGCTATGGTTGTGGTGGCTGATAAGAAAAGAAGAAATTTGTGAACATCTTTTTACCTTTCAGAAAAAACGAATCTGGAGCCAGGAAGACAAACGTTTGAGCAATACGACCGGTTCGAGCAGCGCTGACCACCGCAAGCTGTCCACCTCATCCAATGGTAGAAATTCTGGTGAGTAGTCTGTGTGGGGAACACTCCATGTGACACCAAAATCTCTTTCTGAAATGGTGGTGCCTTCTTTTCTTTTGTTGGTTTTTTTTTTGGGGGGGGGGTTGTATGCTATTTTCTTGTTTTGACGAGCACCTGAAATTGTTCTTTCCCAGCCTTGTTAGCATGTAGATGGGCTTTCGCATCCCCTCCGTATCTGCCATATCACCAGTATGACAAAACAGTAGGATTTTCCTTTCCTTTTGTCAGCATCTTAAACAAATGCAAGAAGCCTTTCTGGATTCATTGGGTGTGAGGTGTAACTGATGTTAAAGGGGAAGCTCAGAGTGGCTGTTTTACAGTGAGGTCAGAGCGGCTGTTTTACAGTGAAGTCAGAGCAGCTGTTTTACAGTGAAGTCAGAGCGGCTGTTTTACGGTGAGGTCAGAGCGGCTGTTTTACAGTGAAGTCAGAGCGGCTGTTTTACG